GGGATTTAGCATCTTCCCTTGATTCCTTGAAAATTTCACTTTTTCTAGCTTATTCCCTTCAAATGATTCCCATTGTTCCCTGAAATTTTGTGTCAAAGTTTCTGTTAAGAGATATCCCTTGCTCTCTCAGATTACTCCGAAAAATATCCCTTGTTCCCTTGAAATAAATTATCATCACTTTCCTTGTTCCCAAAATCTCCGAGAGGCCCTCGTAGTTGGCACGTTTAAGAAATGTTTCATTTCATGAAATCATCTAGTCTTCCCCTAATCAGTTGTGTTTTTGTTGTATCTAAACTAGACATCATAGTTTCTTTTTATTATGTTCATCAATTTCCACATGAAGAAGCTACTTACCAAATAGCAGGCTTATAAAAACACCGGGGCACTACAGAGTCATATTTTGGACCTGGGAAACTAAAAAAAAATGCGTAAGAACAAGTTTTTAGTGATTAATTGCTTAGAATTTAATCAAGGATGAAATACAAAACTTGACGTGATGAACAAACGCTTGACAGGTCCTGAGTAACTTACTGATCCATCCTCCAGGATTCATCAGGATCTGAAGACAAACAATTAACGCATTATTGCAAGCTCTTGGTGTAGCAATATATAGCATCAGCTGCTTAGAAACTTGCACGACTTTAAGATTCTAGTCATAGTGAAAAGGATCTACTCAGTCAGCCTGCAGTTGAGGCGTTTCTTGGTTACAACGTTTTTTATCTACATCAGTTGTTCGTCGGCGAACAAAAATGTTCTGTCTCCTAGTTTCCTCGGGGCGAATTCAATTTGATAAGTCAGTGATAGAAGAAATTGCTGTAAGGAAGAAGCGGAATCGACAAGACACATGACTGGCACAGAGCTCTCATGTTAGCTTGTCAGCCTGAATGGCTATTCTATACATGCTTCTACTCCTAAGAAGTTCTTGCCAGTAATTGTTAGCGAGATATGTTTAACGAGTTCATAAATGTAAACATTTATCAATTATCGTATAACTACTGATTGTGGAGATATTAAACTCTCATTAGACATCTGAACATCCCTTACCTTGCTGAAGAGCTTCATCGGCCATTTGTGATCCGAAGTCGAAGAAATCCGTGCACGTTCTGCGACGAAATCATTGTGTTTGAGTTTCCTTTGCCAAACAGTTATTTCTTGCAGTATTATTTTCAATGTAATAAAGTTAGCGTAAGGCCATAAGCGTTTTGTTTGAACTTAGTAGCGAACACAGGTATTAAAAAAACTTGTAGTTACTCGAAGAACGGTACTTACCCAAATTAAATTACAAAAAAAAAACTTTATCAAAGCTATCGCCTCCCAGAGAAATGTCTCTCAACTCACCGAGGTTGTACGGAATATAACCTGGTTTCTATGGAGATTACAGTATAACAGGTCCCACAGGGCCATTACAGTAAATATGAGAGGATATTTGCATATCTGTTGAACACTGATTAAGTATGCAAACAAAAGAGAAGTGTGTGTACACTTGCATTCGACCGCAAAGAGGTTTTCTTTATCTTTGAAACTGAATACTTGTATTATTTCAGTTTTTGCTAAGTGTAGTTAGCATGTTTTTCCCGCCATTATACAAAGGGCGTAAACAAGGCGTGAATTAAACTGGATGGGTGGCGGGAAGCGGGAANTACGGGATAAAAATACTTCGGCGGGAGCGGTTTGTTCATTTTGACAGGTGGCGTGTTAAAATTGCGGCGGAATGCGGTACGAAAAGCAGTAAATCACAGGTTACGGACGTGAAGCAGAGAACTGCGACTCTAACCAGGCGGGATCGGGATAAACATTCTGAATGCAGCGGGATGGCGGGGGATGTGGGATTAAAAAAACCTATGTTGGACCCTTTTGTAAGGCTTCTTATACCAATAAAAACATCTTTCTGGTTTAATATTAGAATGTAGATGTTCTGGGAAGCTTGTAATCGTATTCAAGGTGTTCCGTATGCTCATTTATCTCCCTCGGGCCAAATAGACTACGAGCAGTGAGCGAAGATTTCGCGTGGCCATTTTCTTCAGTTTGTGCGCGAGCATATTTCCTTTGCGCGCTTTCTTTCGTGTCGGTCAGTATGTACCTTCAAGATATTGTTTACAGGTAATAACAATGTCTTTGCGCCC